GTTTTAATAATAAATATTTTGTAAATTTATACGATTAGAAATTTTGATATTTATATTTTATAGTGTATAAATTTCACTGGGGCAAGATAGAACCGATTTTTTCTTTTTTGATAAAAAAATTTCCTAAAAAGGAATTTATATATAATTTACTATGAAATTGATCATCGGGCATTACTTTTGTTGGCTACTGTATATATAGTTAACTACAATTATTTAATCATTTAATAAATTATTAGGGTAAATATAAAGTTTAATCCTGTTCACTTTAATATTATGTTTTAAGAGTACTGTATATAAATTACCAGTAAAGAGTATAAAATTTAATTCTTTTTATTTAAAAGTAGTAATCATGATAACTCTAGCACTAACTCAACTTTAGCTACTGTATATACTGCATTAGAAAATACTTATAATAGAATTCTATACAGTAAGTTATAATAATTTCAATGCAACCAACTCAACTTTAACTACAAATTTTAATTAATGAAATAGTAAATAAGCTTTGTAACAAAAAGTTTTATACAAAAATCACAATAATTTCAATGCTAACTCAAAATTAACTACTGTGTATACTGTATTAGTGAGTAAATTCTAAATCAAAAAATAGAAATAATTTTTAATACAACTTAATTCTAGATTTGTATATTTAAAGTTATAATTGGTCAAAATATTCAAGATACACAATTGACTTTATTTTTATTTATTCTAACTTAATATGTATATAAACCTAATAATTATTTTATATTTTTCTATCTTGGATTTTATCTTCTATCTTTGCCTATAACCTACTATTATTTTACTATACTTTAACTTTGTACCTCTGTGGCTTCACTATAATAATCTACTTTATTTAATTTATACTTATTTTTTCTTTTTTTTTAACTATTATTTTATTTTACAGCTTTGCTTTAACATAATGCTTTTACTTGTTATATTAATAAAGAGGCAGTGTATTAATTGTGCATATCAATAGTTTTTTTGTCCAATAATAAAATAAACTGGAATTATTAATAGTCTATTTAGTGGCTAATATAAATACTGAAATATAACTTTAAAATTATTTATACAATATATATCATTGTATTATAATATATTCTAATACTAAAGGCACATGATACTTAAAACTGGTGCATTAAAATAAATTTTATAATATATTACATATCTTGCTTAAAATATATAACTGTAAAATATACTGTATATTATCATTGCTAGATAAAATATTTGTAAAAAAAATTAATACTATGTTTGTATATTCATTTTTATTATAACCAATATATGAGTATAACAAAAAAACTTGCATTTTTTATTAGATAAAAATTTAGGTTTTTTCTTTGTAGTGTACATATAAATATATATATATAATTTTTAAAATATATTTAAAAATCATGTATAAAAGCAAGATTGAACATAGTTTAGTTTTTATACATCTTAAATTTTTTAATAAATAAATATATTGATATTTTTATAGTCAATATTTTTTTTAAAAACAAAAATTACTAATAATAATATTTTAAATAAATACTATCAATTTTCTTTGGAACAATAATAGAAATATTTCTTCTATTGATTTTGACCATATATTATATATTGCAACTATCACTTTGGTTAACAACACTATCAGGGTTTTAAATTTGGATAACTGATAAAGTAAATTCGATTTAAACATATTAATGAAATTATATATTAATATATATTAATTATAATAATTATAATGCATTGTGAGTATATTTAAATAATTTCATATAGTATTTATGAAATATTTATAAATAATTGTCTACTCTAGATCAAAAGAAAGAAAAATAAGGTTCCAACTTAACAAGTATAAATAGTGCTTATTAAATAAAAAATATTGTTATTGTGACTTTATAATTATTTAAAACTGTGATAATATTGAATATAGAAATTATAAGTATTGCAAATAGTGTAAAAAACTAATTATAATATGAAAGAATATTGGCTTATACCAAAATTATTTGAGATTACAAGTCAAGAATAGAAAAAAAATCAAATATTCAAATTGTTCAAAAAAATATAGACCTGTATATCATAATAAAGAAGAATAATATTCTAAAACTTATTTATATAATAATCCCAGGCATTAGAATAATAACTGGTAAAAAATAAATTTAGAAAATTTTTATTAAATTTACTCTGTATTCAATTAATAAAAATTAATACTAAATTGTTTATATTTTTTATTATATAAAAAATTATATGTATTAATATAAGATATAAATTATAGTGCTATATTTAAGTATTATATCATGTGATATTTTGCTATTAAGAATCAATTTCACAAATTATATCATGTAATATTTTGCTATTAAGAATCAATTTTACAAAATATTAACATTACAAAATATTGAAACTTTAGTAATTTATTATATATTAGATGATCACAAGATATGTAGTCTAATTTTAAGTATAAAACTGGCTTTGATGTATTTGGGTTAACAAGGTTTCTCTTTATTATTTTATTCTCTCTTAAGCACCAATACAAGAAAACTTTATATTTCAGAATTATATCTGAATATATCTGCAAAATATCTGAGAGTAATAATCTGTCTTATTCAAGTTTGAAACCTATTCCTTTTTATAGTTTTAATTTCCCTTGGGGTTTTTATCCCTACTTGAGAGTTATTATTCTTTCTAAGAGTTATTATCTTTCATTGAGGTTTATTATTCTCACTGAGATTTATTATTCCTCTTTGAGGGTTATAAGCCACATGTTAATCTCTTCTAAAATAAGAACTATTAAAATAAAAATAAAAATAAAATAAAATAGAAATTTCAATAATAATATATAATTAAATAATAAAAAAAAAAATTTTGGCATAACACCAAGCTGACCATATTTTTTAAAAAACTTTTGGTCTATAATCATATAATCTGATCTCTTTTACAATAGCAATAGCAAAAAATATCCAGTCATGTGACACTCTGCTGATAAATTATCTACTAACAAACTACAATTTGACATAATATAACATGATTAGAAAAATTCAAAATCATGTTTGTTTTTTTCAAAAATTACTTATTTCTTGAAAAGTTTTATAAGAAACTGCCTTCTTTGCTCTAACAAAAAAATTTCTTTGTGAGATTTTATATATATTCTGCTAAACTCTAACTCTAATATAAACATTAATCTGACTATAAATAAACTTTAAAGAATTTTTGACCATCACATAACCCAGGCATTCATTGCTATTCAAAATGGCTAAAAATTACATCACAATACTGATCATACTATTTTTGAATCACATTCAGGAAAATATTCTAAACACAACTAAGATTCATTGTTAAATAAATAATAATAATAATTTAGCCTCAAATAATTTAAAAATAAATAAACTAAGTTGAATTATATTTTAAATTAAATATATTTATAAAAAACATTGTTTAATATTTTAATTAAATATATTTATAAAAAACATTGTTTAATAAAAATAAACTATCAAATAGAAATATAAAATACATATTTTTTAAAAATATTATCGTCTAATGATCAACTAATTCTGCGCTGAATATTAACTAAAAAGACCCTATACATAATCAAAAATCAATCCAAGAAAAAACAGAATTAAGTAATAAAAAAAGTATTTACATCTTATTATTTCATGCATTTCTATTGGCCAAGAAAATCCAGCTATACATCAGCCGGGTTGGTCCACAGAAGACGTGTCGACCTTCGACCCGCCCGGCCGATGGGCTGGGTCAGCCCGTATCACCATTACCGACCCATTTTTCAAAACTTTGAGCGAAAATATCTCCAAAATCACCTGATGAAATCATTTAAACTTTTTTTATATGAATTGTATATATTAATTAGGATAGCTGCGCGACAGAACCAGGAATGTAATGTATTATTATTTGTTTATATCCGGTATTGCCTTTGAAAGTTTAATATATAAATGCAAGTGGGGCGCCGCTGGTGCCCTCTACAGACTAAATTTAATTTTACATTCTATATTTAATAAGAATCACTTCAATAAATCGTAATCCTAATGCATAATCCCAATTGTTATTGATTTAGGCCACACAAACTTGATTTTTCATTTTGCTTTACCCGCCGACCCATTTTTTAAAAAAATTTTCTTAAGTTCCAATTATGCTGATTATTCTATTTTCGGCATTTAATTTTTTCCATAATTAATCTGGTACACCTATATAGACCTTATTTTTCCGAAATGATCTGAGAACTGATAAAAAAAAAATTCAACTGCCGACCCAATATTCCGATTCCATATTATGCAAAGCGAAAAATTTAACTCTGCGTGGCCTTAAAATGTGAACAAGAGTCTATTAATTTGGAGGATATATATCTTCTATAAGCTGTGTTCTTAAGCAGTTTCAAAGATATGGATGTGTTGAAACACTTCCGTCGCTTTTAGGAAAACTAAACATGAACGATGTAAAACATATTAAAACTTTAATATTGAGTGGAAAACCTGACTGATATTTGTATGAATTACAATCCGAGATGGAACTTTGAAGGCTATACACAATTTGGATTCACATAAAAAAAAAAGTAATATTTAGTTATTTATACTGTATATAAATTTTCTACTTTGATTTTGTTTATCATAATTCATGTATTTCTTCATGTATTCTCAACAAATATAATAAAATTTTGATCGTTTGGAGTCTTAACCCGAAAATAATTTTTAAATAAGTCGACAAATTCATGGTCATATTTAATTTTTTTTAATATTAATACTATTCATGTAATATATTTATTATAAAAGTCCAATTTATATTTGATATTTCTTGCGCAGTTTTATCCAAAAATTTTCATACAAACTATACACACCAAGCATGTTAGACAAGCATTCGAACGAAATTTGATAATGTTGATATTAGGCTAGGCAAAGTTAATTTTTTGGTTCTCATAACCCGGCCGGGTCAATGAGTCCGGGAAGAAGGATTTAAAATTTATGGGGCGCAGTATTTAAATTGACCAATAAGAATTAAAATGCAAATCATGCGCGAGAAATGCATTAATGCGCAAGGTTAAGGAATTATACGCACGCATGAAACCCATCTCTAGTCATAAATTGTTGGATAACTACGTGGCAATAAAAGTTCTTTTTTCAGAATCTGATCGATATTCGAAGAATCAAATCTGGTTACTTTTGATTATTATGTATCACGGAATAGAAATTCGGGAATGAAAAAAAAATAAAATAAAATAGATTACGCGCAAAAAAGGAAAAAATTTAATAGATTTCTGAAATAAGTATAGAGGTGTTGCAAATCGAATTTGTAATAAAAAATGGGTTCTATTGTTTGAAGTAGAAAGCCGAGTCACGTAATTAATTGTTGTGACAATAAGCGGACGCTTGTAACGCTTGCTGTGTATAAACGACATGAGTCTTGGCATTAGTCTTGTTAAACAAATAATTCCTGAGATGGATTTGTACATTAGCATTTGGCATATGTATTTTCACCTCTGTGCTCCTCATCAGATTGTACCATATAAATAAAAGAATGCGTATCTTGCTTTAGCTATCCTCAAAAAAGGAAACAGTTATCCTTTTTTTATAGTAATAACCTTATTAAACATAGGACATCGAACCCCTAATGGTAAGCAATATACTGATATGGCAATTGCACAACAGGAATAGAAAAATAAAAAAATATTATCCTACTTTTATATCTCCTCAGATTGAATTTAATTCTAAAGTTTGCGATATATAAAATTAAGCTGTCAAAAATTTCGTCGATATCTCTGTTGAATGCTTTCAAAAATTATCTAAAGCATAATCATTTTAAATAATTTACAATTTAATATGAAGTTTCATTTATTTTATATTTGGTTATTTTTAATCACGAAAGTACATGCAGTGAATAATTTGACAAAAAAATCAGCTGAGGATCTTTCGTCTCCTGTTATCTTGGAACATGAAAAACGACAGGAATTTAAAAGTGTTTCTTTTTTAAAACGTGATCCTATTGCTGAAGAAGTTGTTCCAGAACCTGAACCAGTACCAGTACATGAACCTGAACCAGAACCAAATTCTTCTCCAAGTTCTCCACAAATTGCACAGAACGCTTTCCAAAAGTTCAAATTCAAATGGAGGGTTGCAACCATCATACAATCTACTAATTTCTTGGAATTTTCTTCTAATTTATTGGCATTTCTATCACTATATCCATTTTTTTTTTTGTCCAATCTACCACTTCATTAACAATGTTCTCTGTTTTATTCACCATTTAGTTAGTGAATTACACTATATAAGTTATAAAAAAAATTCTTTAAATGAAGAAAATTGTTCTCATAATCTAGTAGTTTTCTTGATATTAAAAACGTTTCACTTTTAAACTAAATTTTATAATTTTCGTTTACCTTACATACTTCTGAAATTCTGCAATATACGCTACTTACATTGGTACATTTTATAATGAAAGAACTAAAAATTTTAAAAATTATATTATTTCTGTTACGTCTTCAATCCATAAAAGAAATATAGAAAACATTCAAAGTACAGGGTAGTTGATGAAACACTTGGTGGAAATTTTCGTTGAAAAAGAAATTTTATGAATGCGCTGTATATACCCAAATAAAAGAGATCATACGCCATCAACCTGGCACACATTCAAGTAGTGATGCGATCCGTTATCCGTTTTCCCATTTAAAATTTAATGAATATCCGGATTCTTTATAATTATTTTGTTATAAAATTAAATTAGCGGATATCCGGATCGCATCTCTACATTCAAGAATTACATTTCATATTTAAAGCCAATATTTAAAGTCAAAAGTTTTTATATACATACTTGAAATTAAATAATTTACTCAAATAAAAGTCCCTTATCTGAGTATTAACTGGGTATACTTACTCATGCAATACTTGGGTTTATCTACCTGAGTATTACTTGGGTATATCAACCCGGGTAATACCCGGGTATACGTACTTACCCGAGTAGCTGTAGTTAATACCCGGTTATAGCAGGATGTTACACGACTGATATTTCACCGGTGTGCAACATATAAAAAAATAATTTTACCAGATCATTCCGCTAGTACATGTTATGGTTATAATCAGTGTTGGAATTTTTTTAAATTTCTTATTTCAAATTTTTGTCCCAACCCATCTCGTCTTTTATGTTTATTCATTTTCTTTTCGATGGTTTCGAAACTTCGTTCGATTCCTAATTTTATTTCCATTTATATAATACCTATAGAGAACATATTTTTCGAGCATTATGTTCTCAAATTTTTTTCATAGAGAACATTTACACAATATCAAATGTTCTCAAATTTAAAGGTATGTTCTCATGAGAACATGAGAACATAAGATTTCCAACACTGATTTAATCCCACACCATTTTATTATTATAAAAATGGTGTTGGTTTATAATCATAACATGTACGTACTAGCGGAATGTTCTGGTATTGTAAATTATTTTCTTATATGTTGCACACCGGGTGAAATATCAGTCGTGTAACGTCGACGGTTCCTCCTGTTCCCGGTTATCTGATTACCCATTACCCGAGTAATACTTCTCGTAACTGTTAATATATGCATTAATATTGTAATCTTATGTAGTACGTAATTTTATTAATATCGTTGATTTGCATAAATTTTTTATTATGTTTTGTGTAACCGTGTTAAATTTTGTGAGCCAACTGTATGTACAGTATCTCCTCGATATTTTCAATATTAATCTGTTTAGAAATTTTGCTTATAAATTGAAAAATAATGAAAATAATTAAGTTACTACCGAAAAATAATGAAAAGAATTAAATTACTACCGAAAAATATACAATTTCAACAGTATTAACGTAAATGGGATCATTAGAACACAAAATTCTAATGCAAAATGCCGGGGCTTCCGTTTAATTAAGATGATTTCCGGCGTAGTTTTAAAGCGGCCATTTTATATTATTATTTTCACCGAAAAAAACGACATACCGAAATTTTGTGCTCATGTGTGTTACACGAAACCTTTTTTCATATCGTTACTGTATAGGAGGACCACATATAGATTTGATTTGCATAGTGCATTGAAAACCTTAATATAAGTGTCAAACAACGATAACCTATAACAACACATTAAATCATTTTTATACATAATGATGGTTTATGAGTTTAGTTCTAAAAGAAACAAATATAATGGGAAATGTGCAGATTGCAACCGATTTAACACATCTAAAGCTTGGTGTCAAACATGTGACTCCCAGAAGACAGCACAAGGATGGACAAGTGGAAATAAAGACGTCGATAATTGTATTAAAGAACTTCAGCTTGAAGCTACTGAATATGAAAATGTAATCGAATGGATTCCTTTTAATAGATTGGACAACCCTCAAAAAATTGGGAAAAGATTTTTAGCAGTTTGGTTAGATGGAATACGATACGTAAGTTATGAAAATGAATATGATAAATATACACAGTCACGTACACAGCCATGCATAATTGCACTTAAAATTTTGGATAGTTCGCAAAATTTATCAAATTCTTTGAAAGATGTAAGATTGTATTATTTTAATATCTGTAATTTATTTGATCAATAGCATGAATACTTAATTTCTATTATTTATTTTATAAGTTTAAAAATCATGTGCAATTAGAGGACACAAATGTCTATGGATTAACTCAAAACACAATCACAAATGAATATATGTTGGTATTTGATGAATTTAGATCTGAAAGAAAAAGTAGGAACGAAAAATGTGCAAATTGCCACCGATATAACACATCCAAAGCTTGGTGTAAGACATGTGACTCTAAAATAATACAAGGATGGACAAGTGGTAATAAGGATGTCGACGATTGTATTAAAGAATTCCAACTTACAGCTACTGAATATGAGAATGTAATAGAATGGATTCCTTTTAACAAATTAGATAATATTCAAAATATTGGTGATAGATTTTTAGCAACCTGGTTGGATGGAATACGCTATCTAAATTATGATTACATGCTTGATAGATTTATACAATCACGTATACCACTATATAAAGTTGAGCTTAAAACATTAACTAATTCACAAAATTTATTAGATATGTTAAAAAAAGTAAGTTAAATCTGATACTAAAATATTGCTTTATTTCAATTCATATATTTATAATATCTAATAAGTTTATATATTTTGCATAGTTAAACAATATTAAAGTATATGGATTAACTCGTGATCCTTCAAATAACGAGTATATGTTAGTGTTCGATGAATTTTATTCTGAGAGAGATAAATGGAAAGGAAAATGTGCAAATTGTAACCGATATAACACATCTCGAGCTTGGTGTCGTACATGTGACCCTCAGAAAATAACACAAGGATGGACAAGTAGAAATAAGGTCGTTGATAATTGTATTAAAGAATTTCAACTTAAAGCTATTGAATATGAGAACGTAATCGAATGGATTCCTTTTAAGAGACTAGATAATATTCAAAATATTGGTGATAGATTTTTAGCAACCTGGTTAGATGGAATAAGATGCGTTAAATACGTTGATGAAGATAGACGGGCGAGTGAATATACACAATCACGTATACCACGATGCATAATTACACTTAAAGTATTGACTGATCCACAGAATTTATTAAATATTTTGAAGGAAGTAAGTTTATTATATTATTATGTATTTCATTAATTAATAACATGCATACATTAACATTAATTTTTTTTTATATGTTTTATATGTTTTACAAGTTTAAAAATCATATCCAATTAGAGAGTGAAAGCGTCTACGGATTAACTCAAAGCACAACCACAAATGAATACATGTTGGCATTTGATGAATTTGGGTCTGAAAGAAAAAGTTGGAACGCAAAATGTACTAATTGCAGCCGATATAACACATCTAAAGCTTGGTGTAAGACATGTGACTCATATAAAGTAATACAAGGATGGACAAGTGGAAACAAGGATGTCGATGATTGTATTAAAGAATTTCAGCTTAAAGCTACTAAATATGAAAATATAATCGAGTGGATTCCTTTTAATAGATTGGATAATCTTCGAAAGATTGGTAGTAGATTTTTAGCAATTTGGTTAGATGGAATACGTCATGTAAAAAAAGCCAATTACGAATATAGCTATACACAGACACGTACACGACCGTGCGTAATTACACTTAAATTATTGGATAGTTCACAAAATTTATTAAATACACTGAAAGATGTAAGATTGTATTATATTTTTTATCTTTAGTTTATTGATAAACATAATAGCTTGTATACTTAATTTCTATTATGTATTTTATATAAGTTTAAAAATCATGTACGATTCGAGGGTCAGAATGTCCTTGGATTAACTCAAAACACAACCACAAACGAATATATGGTGGTAGTTGATGAATTTAGATCTAAAAGAAAGAGTTGGAATGGAATGTGTGCAAATTGCAACCGATATAACACATCTAAAGCTTGGTGCCATGCATGTGACTCTTACAAAATAATACAAGGATGGACAAGTGGAAATAAGGATGTCGATGATTGTATTAAAGAATTTCAATATAAAGCTACTGAGTATGAAAATGTAATCGAGTGGATCCCTTTTAATAGATTGGATAACCTTCAAAAAATCGGGAATAGATTTTTAGCAACCTGGTTAGATGGGATACGATATGTAAATGATGATAAAGTCGGATATACACAGTCACGTACACCATCATGTAAAGTAGAGCTCAGAATATTGGCCAGTTCACTAGATTTATTAAACACCTTAAAAGTAAGATTATATTATTTTATTATATGTACAGTATTATTTAACTTTCGTTATTTAACTTTCATTATTCATTTTATGTATATCATAAGTTTAAAAATCATATGCAATTAGAGAATAAAAGTGTCTATGGATTAACTAAAAATACAACAACAAATGAATATATATTGGTATTTGATGAATTTAGGTCTGAAAGAAAAAGTAGGAACGGAAAATGTGCAAATTGCAACCGATATAACACATCCAAAGCTTGGTGTAAGACATGTGACTCTTATAAAATAATACAAGGATGGACAAGTGGAAATAAAAACATCGATGATTGTATTAAAGAATTTCAGCTTAAAGCCACGAACTATGAAAATATAATCGAATGGATTCCTTTTAATAGATTAGATAATATTCAAAAGACTGGTGACAGATTTTTAGCAACCTGGTTAGACGGAATACGACATGTAAATGACGATAAAGTTGGATATACACAGTCACGTATACTATCACATAAAGTGGAGCTTAAAACACTAACCAGATCACCAAATTTATCAGATATGTTAA